CGCGGCTCTGCCTCTGTCTCTCATTGAAATTCGACACAACACGCGTCCTTCCGTACGCATGTTCGCGGCAGATGACACTTTACTAGCTTCGCTTTTACTTTACCACACATAGGCCACTTAAACCGCTAACGCGGGCGGCAACACCAGTTGGACCTATGTGCAAGGCGTCCAAGCCGTGCGAACCCAATGCGTTCCGCGGACCGGCGGCCGGTAGTGCAACCGCTTGACGCGCGTAAGAGCCCCTGTCCCCTCAAAGCTTTACAGGTTCATTAACAACAATCTTCTCACCCCCGCACCCCTACGAACTGACTGATTCTCTCTCTCTCTCTCTCTCTCTCTCTCTCTCTCTCTCTCTCTCACACACACACACACACACACACACACACACACACACACACACTCTCTCTCTCTCTCTCTCTCTCTCTCTCTCTCTCTCTCTCTCTCTCTCTCTCTCTCTCCCTCTCTCTCACACTCTCTGTCACTCTCGTCACCAGTGACAAGCTGTATTCAGCCTGCGGCCTACGTTGGCTGTATGTGGCTCTGGACACCCTGGCCTTCTCCCTCACTACAGCCGCCGTTTCCATGGTGACAGCCGGAATAGTAAAAACAAGAACTTTGTAAGTAGAAGATTTCTGTATTTCTGTGATGTCCACTGAATTCTACACTCAGCGATCGCGAAGAGAGGAGTTTCGTTTCTATGAGTGTAGAATTCTGTGGTGATGTCTTGTAGTATAGCGGATGCCCACCGGTCAAATGCATGATCAGATCGTGTCGGGTCGGATCAGATCGGATCGGATCGGATTGGGTCGGATAGGATCAGATCAGGTTGGATTGGGTTGGGATATAGCGCTGATCAGTACACATTACGTCAAACTGATTTCTGCTTCATCAAAATTGACCTGAAAGTCCATATTTATTATACGCCCAATCGCACTCCGTGCGCAACAAAAGATCTAGCACTGCATTATTATTATAATAGTAATTATTATCATCATCATTCATCAATATCATTATCATATTGTAATGATTATATAATTATTATTATTATCATCATTATTATTATTATCATTATTATTATCATTATCATTATTATTATTATCATTATTATCATCATCATCATCATCATCATCATCATCATTATTATTATTATTATTATTATTATGATGATGATGGTGATGATGATGATGATGATGATGATGATGATGATGATGATGATGATGATGATGATGATAATGATGATGATAGTAGCATGTGGTGAGAGGTATCTGAGGCAGTGATAAGAGTTTAACGTACACGTTAGTGCTTTCTTTCTACAACGTAAACAAGAAGCCTAACTAAGTTTGACTTTGGCCCTCACTGCTGTGACCACAATGAATCTTTTTGGACTGTTTAGCGGGTGGCTGGTGGGTGTTCTTGCGTTGTTTGCTCCTTCTTTCCTATCCAATATCTATCATCCGTCTTTTTTTTTTCTTTTTTTTGTTTGTTGGTGTTTGTTACTCATTTGTTACACCTTTAATCGTGGGCACGTATTTCGTTGCAAGTGCCGTAAAACTCGTATTAAAACAAAACAACTATGGACTCACATGGACAGATGATACCCGGTGAATTTATTATCTCACATGGACAGATGATACCCGGTGAATTTATTATCTCACATGGACAGATGATACCCGGTGAATTTAGTATCTCACATGGACAGATGATACCCGGTGAATTTATTATCTCACATGGACAGATGATACCTGGTGAATTTAATATCTCACACGGACAGATGATACCTGGTGAATTTGCTATCTCACATGGACAGATGATACCTGGTGAATTTAATATCTCACATGGACAGATGATACCTGGTGAATTTAATATCTCACATGGACAGATGATACCCGGTGAATTTAATATCTCATACGGACAGATGATACCCGGTGAATTTAATATCTCACATGGACAGATGATACCCGGTGAATTTAATATCTCACATGGACAGATGATACCTGATGAATTTACTATCTCACATGGACAAATGACACCCGGTGAATTTAATTCTTATGTTTTAATGTACATTTCATTGTAGTAAGAGTTTTACAGCGCTCGCAACTACATAAGGTCATAATAATAATAATAATAATTTAATGAGCGTGCGGAAACATTCTTTGATGAGACGGACAGTTTGAGTACGGCTATTTTGTCTTTTTTCTTTTCAGGCATTACTTTTTTCACCAAGAGAGTTCTGGGTACTCTCCGAAGGTTGCTTTGGTAGGTAGTGATGTGTGTGTGTGTATGTGCGTGTGCATATGTGTGTGCGTGTATGTATGTGCGTGTATGTATGTGCGTGTATGTGTGTGAGTGTGTGTATGTGTGTGTGAGTGTGTGTGTGTGAGTGTGTGTATGTGTGCGTGTGTGTATGTGTGTGTGAGTGTGTGTGTGTGTGAGTGTATGTATGTGTGCGTGTATGTGAGTGTGTATGTGTTTGTGCGTGCGTGTGTGTGTGTGTGTGTTTGTGTGTGTATGTGTGTGTGTTTGTGTGTGTATGTGTGTATGTATTTTTATATGTGTATGTGTGTTTTGAGTGTGTGTTTGTGCGTGTGTATCTGTATGTGTGTGTTTGAGAGAGAGTGAGAGAAGAAGAAGAAGAAGAAGAAGAAGAAGAAGAAGCAGAAGAAGAAGAAGAATAAAAGACCAAGACGTGGAGAAGAAGAAGAATAACAGAAGAAGGAGAACAC